CAAACGCTGTTGAGAAATTCCACGAACTTATTGCATTTCTTTTGTGTCGAAATTAATTGCACGCCTTGTAATCAAAAGGTGTGCGTAAAATGGCCTTAAAGAGGCCCGGGACCGAGGAGACGAAATGAATGAGGCCGGAAGACATTGGCCTGTAATTACCTCGGTCGCTTGGACTGCCGCAGCTGTGCCTTGAGGTTGCCGACAAATGAACGGCGTATACTTAAGGACCTCGGCGTTTAACTGCCCGCCTTTTCACGAGTAACCGGACGTTTGTATGCTGTCGATTGGGTCCCTCGCGGTACTCGAGATTTACGATCATTCTGTTACGAATCCAATTCAGATCGACGCTCGTGAGTTGTAATACATTTTCACAGAGATAAAATTCTCCAAAAGACTCTATGATTATCGACGGTTGTTCGGGGAACCATTCGGTTTTTGATTACAAAACAACCGTTATCAGAGACTCGAAACTTCTCGACATAACGATAATAATCAAAGATAACGAATGCGCGTTTGGTGCAGCTGCTTATCCGAATGCATAATTTATACACGAATATATAGTACGTCACATAGCTGAATGAATTACTACAGAAAATGTTCGCAATAAAGTACGACTTACTTGATACCTGCGAGTCGATACAAATTTATCGAACGCGAGTCGATGAAAGATTTTTTTCACTCGTTTCTTGGTCGATATCGTCGTTAACGAAGCTCAGATAAACAAAATCGTTCTATTTGTGTAAATGATTCTCGAGTGTGCACGTCAACTGCAGTTCACAATGTTTATACAAGAATTTTCTTCTAAGGCATGACGTTTACGTAACGAGTAAATGTTGAAACGTATAAACCAGTCAAAGAGGAAATGTTACTCGGTCTCACAGCCGTCAACGTGCGTGGTATTTTCTTCTCGGTATTTTTCAACACGGAACGTTTTTTTTTTTTTGTCGAGCAGATTCACACAATGTTCTCGAACACCGTCCAAGTGGAATGTGTAGGATGCGTTTTTTGCCAACACCGAACCTTTATCAATCGTCACGACGGTTTATCCGTTTTCCCAAAATACAGTGCTCTGGCGGACAGCAATACAATCACGCGCAGCGTCCGCACATGTGTACACCGAAAATAAACAACCCCGCCTGTTAGGTGAGGCAATTACGAGTGAGCGGCGGCATGTTCAACAGCAATCTACAAAATTACATTCTACCGCGATCCACCTACGGGTTCCGCTTACGTGTTCGAGTGTAATTTAAACTCCGAGTTTCCAGAAAAACATTAACGGGCGTAGCACCGTGACTGGTAGGAAATATTGGCCTTGCAATAGTTCTGATGTGAGAAAGAGTGGAAAACGTTTTCGCCGTACAATCGTAAGTCGACCTGAACAAATATTTCTTTAGCGTTATTTTAGAGACCCGACTATATAATCATAGAAATTATTGTAATGAGCGAGGCCGCCAACGGATTGGAATATCCTCACCGAAATTACGACAAATCGGACTGGGGACCGCACACGTCGCCATGACATAATATGATTCACTGGACGAGACACAACTGGACGATTTCTGTACTTGGACTATTGTACAATAGGATAAGGGACGTGTTCGCGACGGCAACCGGTTCCTGTCGGTAACCGGACGAACGAGACTTGCACGTAGGTCGTTACACCCATCTACCCGAGTATTGGCTACATTTTTTAATACATCTGATAAATTTTAATTAAACGTATATTGTCTCTTTACGAGGGGCCTCTGCAGTTTAATTAGTGCGGCTGCTCTCTACTGTTCCAAACCAAACGGACAGATAATTTATTATATTATGCCCCGCGTAGAAATGTGTGCGCGTTGCAGCGCAGTGCCAAATGAAAATATATTTTAACCAAATGTGTCGTTTACTAATGCGCTGCGCAATGACATATATATATTACAAATACATACACATCTTGGGCGATAAAACGGATTGGGGTGGAGAATAAATATTCTTGGTCCTCGACCCCAGACGGCGGCAGGAAATTAAACCCTCTTATTATTGTGAAACGTGAGAACAGTTGACTTTGCAACTCTTGTGCTACGAATGAAATTTCATTTGAAAATGTCTGTTCGTGTTTTTCAGATACGGCTAAATCTTAGAGAGCGAAGAAAGGACTGCGGATAACAAGACAAGCGACTGAGTAAAAAGTGTTGCCGATCATAAGATAACACTGTTGAACATCGTTCGCACATATTTCTGCACGAAGCAAATGTAAACGCCTAATCGTGGACTCCCAAATTCAATCAGGTTATTTTTCCAACAGGTTCGTATTAAATTTTATAAAAAACCTATTTACGTATCATTTTGAAGTATAGTTACGATCATATTTTGAAGTAGTTAACGACAAATACTCTCCTAGTTACTACAAAATATTCGTTTCGATTATTAGCTACACAATATTTTATTCCAACGCTATGGAGAAACATTATTTTGACTAGTTTATTAGAGTTAATGAGATATTCGAATGACGGACGCGCGATGTTTTCTTGCTAATTGGGCTGTGTAGATAATGTGAAAAAAGCCTCTCGAAGACAACATAAAAAAGTGTCGAAAACACTCAAATGAGAGTTGTTTAACATTTGGTTTTCACGGTGTAATATGACATGTCACGTTAAATAATTTATTTGTGAGAATTATCTCTTAGAAGACCGAAACGTTGTCAGTCAGAGGATATAAAACCGTGTGCATAAAAACCAAGTATGAATTAGGGATAAAGTAAATCATGAATATATTTATAATTTAGAACATTTTTTTGTTTTAAATTGAAAAACATGCACTCAAAATAAAATATCGGCCTTTTGTTTGATAAACGTCACTAAGTCACATTGACCGTATATTTATTAATTAAATATAAAGTATACATATTTTTGTTTATCTTCAGTTACTAAAATTTAATAATCAATAATGATGCAATAAAATTCATAATTACCAAGTGATAATTATCATTAAAACGGGTTTATATATCGAATGTAATTAAACATTTGTTTTGAATTACGTTAAGACATTCGAAACATAAGTCTTGTTATTTATCAGACCAGCGATGAGAAAATATAGTGATAAAATTTATCGTCTAGTTTGTAGTTATCCAAACATTTTAACTGATAATTATTCAATATATATATATATTTTTTTTTGATTCCAACAAGTTCAATGGAAATAAAAATTCTGATGTAAATTTACTCAAAGTACTTCCAAAGGCACGTTGCAACCACATGTCAAACAGACGTAAATTTATAATTATCGCTTAGTGTTAAGTCTGTGAAGGACGCCGCACGTGTGATGGTCTCTGCGCCCCACGTTTTTCATTATTTTGGATCGTCAAACGGTCGACGACAAGCGGCATTATTAATATTTTTTAAGGAACGCCCTCGCAATGTCATAAATATTTTAATAATACATTACAGAGACTTGCACCGGAAATGTATTTTGAGACATTTGCTCGCTACTTTTCGACGGACCCCTTGAGCATGTGAAGTACCAAGCACGTGTAAGTCACGACAAACAATAATGGCCGACGAGTCTATTGGATACAACGCTAAAAAACATCAGCTTTTTTTCACATCAACTCCATACCACTACAGATACATGATTAATAGCGACACGTCGTCCAATAAACACTGCTCGAGTTATCCTCCCACACAGTTGGCGTATATTATTAATGCGTTTACATCCGCTCAGGCAACGCTCTAAACATACACAACATCTCTGGCCTACACTCGAAATCCGTTTGGATCAAGTCAAGTCGAGCTTGATAAATTCAAAAAATACTTTAAGTAAAAAATACCGGCGTTACGAGGCATGGGACTTTTGGTAAAATGGAACGCGTAGAGGTCACGAGAAAACGATTTTCGCGCGACCGGCACGCGTTCCATAACCCCTCCCCCCCAATCGTACACCATAAACATGCAGTGACCAAAACGAGGGTAGACGGTCCCCACCAAAAACGTTTTCCGTGGATTATTCAACGGAATTGCGTACGATCGTTTGGATAGAAGTTTTTCTAGGATTTAAATTACTACGATTTTTATTGTTCAGACCAATCTTACTGACTGTAAATAGAGTAAATTTTAGTTTCAAAACGTAGTTGTCGGATAATAATTATTTGCTCGAGTCTTTCGTATTTCGATCGGTGATTTATTTCCCACGATAAAAAAATAAATTAAGAGCCTTAATGAAAGCGCTGATCGTTTGTAAATTGCTTGTACTACGACCATTGGAATGACCGTTCGGTGATTTATCGTTTCATTTATGAACGCATTATTAAGATGTATTGAATACTATTTTACTACTGCAGAATAGTGGAGCTGTAACGTATGAGGTCCGCTCGAACAATAAAAAAATATTTTACTTCATTTTATTGCCGTTTTCATAATGTTGTTTTAAACTCGTGTTGTATACGACACGTTAAAGAGATAGAAAACAATATTTATCTCATTACACTCTTATCCGTTAAAATCAAAGATTGTCACCATCGATAATTAAGATTTTTTAATTATAAAATATAATTATATAGATATATTTACAAGCTATGTTTTTATAATACTTACATTTTTTTAGTTGCTCGTATTATAAGCGCTATCGTTTAACAATACTCGAGTTGTCATTGTTAAACGTCCAAGCCAATTTGTTTGCTTGATGCGTCAAACTTTCTCCCCTTATTTATATCACTGACATGGACCCCTCGAGTATCGTTATTGGCTTATGTACTTAAGCGCATATATTCCACTGTGTAGTTAGTTTGGCAAAGTCCCTTTGCGACAAGACAAACAAGAAACATTTAAGTACGGTTTGTTTAGAAAGTTTAGAAAACCCATTGTTATCTACCCTATGCATTAATGTAAAGAATCGCTCTAAAAATGACTCCCCAACGATCAATCGTGTGTTGTTGCTTCTTTTATGTATTTTTACTACCACTCAGTTCAGTGGACTTATGTTGTATCATGATATTTAAACTAAACTCTGATAATATATTACAGGTTGCACTGTTTCTTGCCTGCCATCACTCTGGCCAGCGTCCAAGGTAATTATCTAAGCTCTTGTAAATAAATATTATACCACAACGTTGCAGTAAAATACAAGATTGTATGAAATGATTTTGTGGTGTTCAGAAGCAGTAACGATTTCCTATGTCGAAGTTACAACTGTTGTAATGACAACATATGTACTTTGGATTTTTTTTTTTGTTTTATTATTTTGTTTCTTAATTGTTTTTTATATCCAAAGTATATCCGTAATTCGACAATAATCACAAAAGTAGCACACATCACTTTTGGCTAGGAAATAATTTATGATATTGCTATTGCGTTTCTTCGAATATTTTGAAGACGATAAATAAATTTTAACAGTTTCTACATATTTGTATCAAATACCACAAAATCATTCACGTTCTAGAATATACAACAGTAATAAGACATATGCATTATGTATTTTTTCCTTAAACTTGTCATGGTCTCGTACAAACGTTGTCATTAGAAAATAATAAAACGTGACGCGTTAATTAAAATTCCGAGAATTTACGATACTCATCAAATTGTATAAAAAAATAATAATACAGTAAAGCATGAGAAACCATCGGCATGGCGAGGGGCAAAGCGAAGGCGGCGAGACCTCCCGGGGCGATGGACCAGTCAAAAAAACACATGCGCGCACACCGAAAAAGATGGCCGCAGCACCGTCACCCCCTCACACATCTCCTGCACGGCGGGTCCGATTAAAATCTATGGTGACGTTTTCCGTGCGTTTGTCACATAGCTGCAGGTGCACAGGCAGCCTCGCCGACATCTTAATAATCTGACGGCGTTTTATTTTTAAAGACGTTACCAAGAAGTTATCTGGCGAGTACACGGCAAAAATACACCTGATCATCCAAGTATTCTAATGGTTCTTCTTTATATGTTTCTGAAAATACACCAGCCTCTGTGAAATTACCAAGGTTCCTTCTAAGATATCAAAAATCTAAATGGGTCTATTTCAAACTGTAATAATGAACTAGTATGAGATAGATAAATAAATTTTCGCTTGATGATTTTTGGTTTAAAATTTATTTTGACAATTCTAAAAGCGTATATTCGCTTTTATCTTTCCNACATCAAAAATCTAAATGGGTCTATTTCAAACTGTAATAATGAACTAGTATGAGATGGATAAATAAATTTTCGCTTGATGATTTTTGGTTTAAAATTTATTTTGACAATTCTAAAAGCGTATATTCGCTTTTATCTTTCCGACAATCTAAATTTGCTCTCTCTTTTTAAAATATTTCAGATATTGCTGAGCAGGGGCACTGAATTTAAAAGGTTGGGCTGACTAGTATAAAAAAAAAATGTCTCCTAATAATATAAATACCGGTAACGTTTTTGTGTAAAATACAAATTATTATAAATATGGACTCGCGTATCGCAGATGCGTTGCGATGTTGACATCTCAAGTCTGGGGGACTGCCGTGTAATCGTGTAACAAGATGTAAAAGGGAACAACTATTGGAAATTTTCCATTTCATCGGACACAACACGGTAACGCAATTTTATTATACGTCAAGGTTCGTCCTATAAAAATGCAACGTGTTGACTTTTTACCCTCGCAGACAATACAATTAGATTTGGCCTGTGACGGGGGAAGTTTTGTGTTGTTCTGTTGTCATTTTTTTGCTTTTCATAAATTTGCGAGATAATCCTACGAGATGACAGCCGGGAAACGAAGAGCGTGCCCCTCACAATCGCATTACAGTGTTTTGAACGCAACAAATTCGAGAGTCAACACGTCTTTTGTTCGGGCCGACTAGAGTTTCTCTAAGGGCAAAAGAAAATGGTAATCGGTCGCCGGGCCGTGTAGAATGTGTCCTAAATTTCATTAGGCTGTTTACGCATTGCAGTCTAGAACATTGTGCCCGCGTTGTACGCTATTACAACTATTGAATAAAGTAACACTCTTTTGTGTGCGGTTTTTCTTTGTACTAAGTTGGTTGCGCATCGTTGTGTCCAATAAAACGCATGTTTCTCGTGACAATGTTGTTTTTTTGTGTGCAGCCCGAAAGATCATAACTTAGAGATTACACGTGACCCACAGCAGCACGTTTTCCATTGAACTAGTCGTATAATTTGCTTTAATGATAAAAGTCACATAAAAATATATTCGATATAAATATGTATTATTCAGAGATAAATACATTGATATGATAAATTAAATAAACTACTCGTTTTTGTTCAGGAGCAAAGAGGTCGCGCGATAGGATTTTTCTGATTCTTTCATTTTTATGTGTACCACGAAATGTGACATTGATGAATAAAACTTTGGAAATCATAAAAACAAAAGATCCATAAATGTCCAACACTAAAATGTAAAGGCCTTTGAATAATTTACTGTCGAGGGGCTAGTCGGTCGCCGATAGATCGGTTGGGTTTCACACACACAATTCAATCGCAAACACATTTAAAGGTATAACTCGTCCCATGTTGACTGAATAGGTTCGAGGATAAAAAATATAAATGGAAAAAAACTGAGTGGTTAGGGTTTATTTTTTTCATTAAACGAGAGCGGTCGAGGCACGCGCCATTGTCGCCATTATGCGTCGCGTTGCATATCCTTGATGGTTGCCGCTGCCAAAAAGGGCGCCTTTGATCCGAGTGGGAGCAAAAAAAGGAAACAGTAAAAATACAGTAGCCGTAAAGCAGCGCTACCGAATGACACGGTGGCGGCTATCGGCAGCGTCGACCGTTTAGTTGTCGGTCGGTCCGCCGTGCAGCGCACCGCGTTGGCTCACGCGATTAAGACACCGGACAGGGGGGAAGGGGGTCGGCGTCGGGAACACGGTACGCACGCAAGGCATTACAACAACAACGCGCTCGCGTCGGCCCGTTTGTGAGCCGTCGGACGCGGGCCACCCGTCATCGTGTGTCGACCGTCACTTCTCACATCAGTCCGCTCTCGTGCATCGGTCGTACGAAACTTCGGATCCGCTCCGCCGAAGTCGTCCGTGAAAGAATACTGTACATCGCACGAATTATTTTCCAAAGTTCCCAAAAATATTTTTTAGCTATGCGGGTTTTTTAGTTATTTTTAATTATCGACGTTTGTGCGAATTTTGACATTTTTAATAAAAAATACAATTTTTGTGCGTTCAGTAGAGTGATAGATTTATTTATATTCTACATTTGTACATAATATATGTCCTTATTTTACTCTAAACTGATCTGGACTGTTTTTTTTTGTTGCCGCCGCTCACGTTTCGTCCTAACGTCTCGTCGTTGTCGTTGAATCACCTGGTGCATCACCGAATCCACAACAATTATCATCATCGGCGACCTCGGGGACGCTGCCGTCGGTACGCTGTACGGTGGCGGTGAACACGATGTCACCACCGGAGCAGGGTGCCCTACCCCGACAGCCGGACCCGGGCTGAGCTGGTGGACCATGATGAACGGTGGTCTCTATGAAGATAGTCCGCCACCGCCGCCACCACCTCCGCCGGTGCCACCGCCGGTGTCTCAGCATCAACAGCAGCAACAACAACCCTTACCAGGTGAGGCGCGAATCATTAAAACTTCGCCATCATCCACTCCGATCACCACGGCGTCTTCGTCGTCGGTACCCGGTACGCCACCGCCGCCGACACCGCTTCACATACCAGCCAAGCGTCTGCTGCACGCGCCTCCGCCCGTGTCTTCGGGCGGTTACGACTGCATGGACTCGGCTGCCGCAGGCGTCATACGGCACTCTCACCACCAGTGGAACGCCTATTCGCCCGTAGAACACGCGGTTGCCGCAGCCGCCGGTTGTGCTTTCGACCAGTACCAGAGTGCGGGAAGCAATCACCACCATCATGCGGCCGCTGCGCCCACCTATTATAACTTGGCCGCTGAGAACCATCGTGGTGTCGTACCGGACGGCAGAAAACCTCCTGCGGGCTTGCCGTTTTGGTCGCCCGCCGCCACGGATTATTGCAGCGGTGGCAATAAATACACTAACGGCGGCGGTGCCATAACACCGTGCAGCAGCTCTGCGGGCCCTACAGTCGATCAGTTCTCGTCGCAGTCTTGGTGTAATTACTCGCCGTACACCACATCCATCCGCTNTCATCGTCGTCTTCATCAGCGGCAGCGGCAGCGGCCGCCGCCGCCGCCGCGTCCAGACATTCGTCGACCGGGGGAGGCGGGGGTCCTGGCGTGGACACCCCACAGTCCGTCTCGTCGTACCTAAGTCCAGGCGAGGACAGAAACCCGCGTATGGCTTCTTCGGCCGTAGACAGCTCTGGCTCGTTCGGACACGACACCTCGTACCCATTGCGGAACTACAGCGGCCACGATCCAGTTACCTCCACGCCGTACCCGCCTACAGGTAATATTATTGTTTTTGATATATTTTTAGATTGTATGGTTAATTCAGCCACCGCACATTTTAACCCAAATGTTTGTATATGAAAAAAACAAAAAAAAAACCTTGGCGATCAGCACAGCAGATTAACCTTTCTTACGCCAGCCCGTCCTCCTGTGCGCATATTACAATATGTGTATACATGTACAACGAACATTGGGTAATTGTGGGGTGTACCTGTAGTGTAAAGAGAGTAGACTTGTCATGTGTGTGCGTACATAAAAGAACAAGCGGTGGCGGTCGTCGTAAAATACACGATTTTATTGGACGGGTAGGTCAGCTGTCACGATGGGAACACTGTACGCACACACATGCGGGTCAACGATGTAATAATACGATGTTGGAAAGTCGTTGCGAATAGCTACCGTGTTAATAGAAAAAAATATTATAAATTAAGAATCATCAAGTTTCGCAATCATTTACCATTTACGCTCATAAATCGCGTATTTATTGTCTGATCCGACTCGAGTGGCCGGTATTTTTATGAATTGTGTATTTTTGTGTTTTCTTCAAATTTCCATTAAGAACCGCGACGAGTTTATAAATACACTCGGTGGCTTTGTGCAGTAGAACGTCATAGCNCGGTGGCTTTATGCAGTAGAACGTCATAGCCCTTAAGTCACTGCGCGCCGTTCCGTTAAAATAAACGATTTGGCGGCCTTTCAAAAAGATCTTTNTGGCTTTGTGCAGTAGAACGTCATAGCCCTTAAGTCACTGCGCGCCGTTCCGTTAAAATAAACGATTTGGCGGCCTTTCAAAAAGATCTTTAGCGACCATCACAATAGCGCAGACCAATAAAAATAATAATAATTAAACGGTTTAATCCGCCTGGCTGTGGATCGGTCAATGTATGCGCGTGGGGCGCACTGACAAAAAATCATTGCAGCTGTTCTTTTTCTGCTCCCGCACCGCGGGGACGACCCCTTTTCGTGAAGTGACTGATCATATCGTTCCCAGTGGTTATTTGCCATCGCCAGTAATTTCGTGTATTGCGCAAAATGTGTTCTGTCTGCCGCACGAAATGGCCTAGACGTTTTCGCCGATTCGACGGCAAATCGGTTTACTCAAATCATTGCGAATCAACGGCCGGGGCGCGTGTCCGAAAAACAGCACTCTGCCGATGTCCGAAACATTACCTCCGGGGCCGTAAATAGGGCAACTATGTTTTTATTACTCGCTCACGACAGCTTTATGGCTTGCTACTTTTTACAACTACCGTGTACAGCGCACACGCTGCTCAACACAGAATTGCGGCGGATCGCTTTTGAGAATACCACTAAAAATTATGTGCGATCCTAGTGCATAATTATTCAATTAATTACAGTACAAGTGGTAAACATTTTTACCACCCGAGTGACGGTCTTCCAGTTCCCAACGAACCGTTCGCATAAATGACTCAATTTTGTGTTGAAAAAACCTCAATCCGTGTGACGTATTCTTCCTTAGCGGGTCACGCGACCGGTTCTCGGCCATTAGCATACTAATTGATCGGTATAATGCCAGTGCTAGAATTAATTAATTGTGAATTTCCAATTTATTAAAAATCAGCATAGCCGCGCACCGATTTCCATGCGAGGTGATTGTGCTGTTAAGTGTTGAATGTTGTGATCGATTCCAAACGTCGTACAATTATTGTAAATCTTCACACATACTACTACATAATCATAAGCACACCGCCAACGTTGATCAGACACGTTATATCGAGAAGTGTAGGAAAAAAATTACTCATAAGAGTGGCTTTACCTCCATTTGTATTCGTTTCATTCGGTACACGATATTAATATGCGACTCCTACCCGTGACATCTGCTTAATTTATTCACACTGTTGTGTTCACACTATGTATTAGTGTACGGGCCATAGAGTTTCCGCACTGTTTGAACTATAGACACACCAGAATCGTGTTTGGAAATATTTTTTTAGATTTTACGGAGCACGTTATCTTGTTTCCTTGTTGTATTCGTTCAGCTAATACACAAACATACAAAAGTAAAATACATACGTATATATATATATATATAATTCCAGCAATTCTTCTGCAGTATTCGTTACAGTATATTGTAGCCATTATTTTCTTATTGCCTAATACCGCGCCGTTCCGATTGTACTGCAAGCGAACCGAATCCGAGAGAATGTCAAATCGCGTCGCAATTTATACGAATGAGATCCGTTGCAACGCAAATAGATGTCATAATAAATATATTTAATTTATTGTGTCTGTAACGGCCTTGTTTACACAACGAAACAAAATGTTTCTCTAATTATTAATAAAATAAAACATTTTAATTCAGCATTCCGATGGTTTTTCGTTTTTTAATAGGTTCGTTGTCGAGCATAGGAAGCATGGGCGTCAGTTCTAACCCACTCGAATGGACCGGGCAAGTTACGGTACGGAAGAAGAGGAAACCTTATTCCAAGTTCCAGACACTGGAGCTGGAGAAAGAGTTTTTGTTTAACGCGTACGTGTCCAAACAGAAACGATGGGAATTGGCGCGGAACCTGGCGCTGTCTGAACGTCAGGTGAAAATATGGTTCCAAAACCGGCGCATGAAGAACAAAAAGAACAGTCAGAGACAGGCGGTACAACAGCAACAGCAACAGAACAATAATAACAACAGCAACAGCAGCGCTAACGCCAACCATCATCACATGGTGATCGGTCATCACGGAGCAACCAACGGGCCTATCAAGCATCATCAGTGACCGTCGCATTACTCTGGAGCCGCTGCTGTCGCCGCGCCGCCGCACCACCACCTACATCATCATCATCTCCACCACCAACCGTTACCGCATCATCATCATCATCATCATCACTACCCACTACAACCCGTCTAAAGTGAGTGCCGCTTAAAACTCAATAGCCATTCAAAATTTACTTACCGTATTAGTATCTTACATTTTTTTATCCGTACTATTTGTCTCTTGATACAGTCTTATGTATTTGCTTTATGAGTTGCTCAATTCCGGTATTTTTATTTGTATCTAAAACATTCCAAATGGTAAGAAATGGATTAAGGTTGGGGAAAATAGACGTGGCTCCAGAGTGACTGTCAAATTAATTATTATAAAAATTGAAACATTTGTAATTATTGTCTGATCGATCTAATAACATGTTTAAGTTACTATTTATATATTAAATACTATTAGGCTAATGCATATAATAATATGTTTTTTAAATAGTTATATTCTAACGAATCGTGTATATGGCGCAATATATTATAATGTAGAATACTATAAGTATAATTATATTTATTAATAATTATAATTAATTATTACTTAATTGTTTAAGATCCCCGAGTTGGATATTTATATACTTGTAATGATTGTAAATTATAATTAATAGTGTTNTATTTATATACTTGTAATGATTGTAAATTATAATTAATAGTGTTTTTTCTACTCACCTAAAATATTAATTAATATTAGTAATGATACTTAATAAAAAGATAGGAAACCGAAGTGATTTGTAAATCTTTTTTCTTACATAAAACATAACCAATGTTTTTTTAGATGAAAATCCATCGATCTCCGATTTTAAGCGAGTTTTTTAGTGTTTTTTTTTTTTATATTGTGTACATACTTAACAATAACGATAGACGTGTAATTACTATACTCATACGGCTATGTTAAGCATTAAAAGTTAACACTGAAGCATAGTTGTTTTTATTTATTTTTTCTCCCAGCGTGAAGTACTTATAACTTATATCTATAATAATTATTTCAAATAAATGATTTCAGTTTTATAAGCTATTCTAAAAAAAAACTTTATTTGTTAAGTTTTCTACATTTATTAATTATTAATAACAATAAATCGACATTTGCAATACTATTTTATCATTTGTTTTTGTTTCGTGTATCATATGAACAAGAGTCGTACCGAAATAAAAATTATTAATAAATATCCTTCTTTTTGTTTTTTTTGTATGTTGTAGTATTGTGTTCTGGTTATGTATAAACTATTTTAATTGTTGTATTAGCTCATTTTTCTTTATGTTTTGGTTCGACTTTTTAGCGTGTAGACTAAAATAATAGTAACGTATTTTATTGGTGCCAAAATCTGTTTATTATTTTTAAAAAACCCTCCGATGCTTTACTCTTATAGAAACTTAGTGTATTTTTAATTACTTGTATAATTCGTCTTATTATGTATAGGCTATAATATGTTGTATCAAACAAATATGTGCACTCGAAAAATCTCTTTTATTATTATTATTATTATTATTATATACATTGTACAAGTAACTAATAATTAGACATTTGTAAATATAATTAGAAACTATTAGCATGTATGGGAATAATATGAAACATATTTTAATCGTCCCGCGTTTTGTTACATTATTATACTTATTGTGGCAATAAAACAAAAGCAAAAAATTATTTTCGTTTTCCCGGCATTATTAATTTATATACATAAATATAACATTTATATACACACATTGACTTTTATCTTATACTCTATTCTATTTCAGTTGTTTATGTTCATTATCCAGACAGTACTTCCTGCAGCATTTTGAGTATTTATTAAGTATAGTACATACTACTTTTCCTATAATGATTTGTTATAGATTAAAATTCGATTTATTTTTATAAACCATAGTAAATATCATTAAAGAAGAAAAATTATTTATAAGGGTAAATTTTAGGGGTAACTCTCGAAAATTTAATGAAAACCTATAATGATTATACTATTATATATTAAATGTTGACTGGTCGATGACCATTTTTGTATTATTAATTTTTGAGGTACGATAAGTTTGAAAATTTAGAAAAAGTGAAGAGTGGAGTAGTATTCAGCAAAAATATTTTTAACATAACGCACAGATAAAAATTCTTCTATGTCGCGTACTCGTAAGTAATAATACAATACTGATTATTAATTACTTTATAGTAAAAAAAAAAAAGTAATAATAGATTCTCATATAAGTTTTGAAAGTTACCCCTTAAAT